GAGGATACATATGTTGTCCAGAACTCATTAGTCAAATTGATAGTAAAACTGTTCGAGAATAATTGTATTTTACTTCAAGTCATTTGAACACATTAGAAAAAATACGAGACTAACACACAAGTTGTATTTAATCCGTCAATCAAAATTAACACAATACGAACACAATTGAAGGCATTTACAACAAATCAAAATAAGCCAACAGTGTATAAAAGGAACAAATTGTGAATGATTCAATAGAAAAATGACGTAATTGAACTAATAGAAGAGAAAAATCTAACAAGTTTTGGAACAAACATGATTTGTGAAAATTCATATTTATCGATCCAAATCGAGAGTATTAGTTATTTATGAGGTGTATGTCAGTATCATCATCACCATGGAAGATGTGAAGAAGCTTGGTTAATATGTATAAAACATTATCTGTGTCAGTGGGCCTGTTGTATTAGAACAATTAAACCAAAATATATATCGAAAACAAATAAAAGGACCCCATGCATGCTATTTATTGAGATAGCTGAAAGAGTCCAACTTGCTTACATTATATGCATACGCATCGCGTGAGTTAAATTATTATTTGTCACCATATATTAATAATTAATATATGGTATTCAAATATTTTTTTGTCCTTCCAACTGCAGTACGTAATTTTCAATCTCTTTCTTCTTCTGCTACTACGTACTACTCTCACTTATTGCTTAGCACCTTCTATTCATCAACATCATTTAAATTTATCCCAAAAAGAATCCAAAGCAATATCTACCTCTATAAATATAATTTCAAAATGAAATCCAAAGCATATATGTTTAATGAGAATAATTCTAAAATGTAACGGTAAATATATACATTGAAAAACATGTTACTCCTATATAGCTTAGCTAATCCATAACATTAATCAAGTTTGCTGATAATGCGGCCAAAACTTACAAAAGAATAGCATGTGAATGTTGTACAAATTAAAACATACATGTGACATTATTTAAGTCGCTCTAATAGGACGATAAATTGATTTCACATTGTGGTGTGGAACATATCTAGGTCATTGCACAAAATATTGTTTTATAATTCCATCGTATCGTTTAAAGTATCGACACACATACTCTATCGTTAAGAAAATGATGATTTATAGCAGCATTATTTTTAAAAGGTACGTACTTATTTCACTAAGAGTGTGTTGAAAATGTTTAGGGTCAAGTGGTGCTAGGGTGGGAGCGGATTGAGTCATGAGTATAAGGAGCTGACTCAAAGGGAGGAGGATTGCCCAAGCCTTATAAGGAGTCCACCCATCTTCCACCTCACGCCCAGACCCCAGTGATTACCATTAGGTACGTAGACAATTTTGATTTTGGGGGTCCCAAGTGAGACGGGCTTTGCTCTGATACCATCATGTGAATGTTAGGCCTAACTCACACCAAAAGCTAGCTCAAAGGGAGGAAGATTGCCCTTATTAGGAGTCCATACACTTTTGTCATTCTTTAACACCCCACCTCATACTCAGTGCTAATTTGATTTCGGGGGCCTCAACATCGGGTGAGACGGGTCCTGGTGTGATACCATGTGAAATTAGGTCTTAAGGCTAACTCACACCCCAAAAGCTAGCTCAAATGGGAGAAGAATTGCCCAAGCCTTATAAAGAGTCCACCCATCTCATTAACTATCGATATGAGATCTTTGTCATTTTTTAACAGTGACAATAACTTACTTATTTAATTAGAATTATTTTCTTTTAACATTTGAATTAATCATACATGAAAAAATCGAAAATCATATGAAATACTCCCAAAGGTAATATGGCTGTTCAATTGAGCACTTAATTAGGTGTACATATGCTGCATCAAATGGGGTTTGGGGTTCATAATTAGGGTCCTTTCTTTGTGTGTATGATATTATACAAGTGCAGTCTTTTCTAAGACTATCCCCCTCAATTGAGTGAATATCAAGAACCACTTGATCAATAATTTTAAAAATTTAGATAGCCACATATATATTATTAAAAACACACACTATACTTTCAAAAAAACAGAACCTAGCCCCAATAGTAATTATTTGAATCATAAGGAGACATAAATGGGTGCCCACCAATTCCTATATTTAGGTAGTACATTTTAGATTTAAGAACAAGTAGACGAGGTAACATTATTAATACCATAAATAATAATGGCAATTTTCTACTGTCTTCGATAACGTGGTCCTATGTATGATTTTTTCTCTTTGGAATTTTTGCAATATAAAAATAATGGGGTGGTCAATTTATTGGACCCAACATCTGAAAAAACTTTTGCTGCCACATTGGAAGCATGTCTTGTTTTTCAGACAAAAATGTGAGCTACTATAATATCTCAATGACAGTGGCTATATGATGAGTATTCACTATTTGCCCTTATCTATCAATATATATATGGTCACAATTTGAGTTTTTATTATTTCGTTATGACTTTTAGTCATAGTTTATATTTCATGTTACCCCAAAAGAAAAGAAAAGTAAAAAAAATAATAAAAATTGATACTTTTGAACTCACAAGAGTTTCTATATATGGTTTTCCACTGTTACAATTGTGATCACCATTATTATATTATTAGGAGCCACTAACAATCAACCACCGTTGCCATCGATACACACATCTCCATCCTCACTAAAGAATATAAATGTTCCATATTTTCTTATCAAATAATCATTTTATATTCTTAAGATCTATATATTTTTTAATATTTAATTATCTTTTTATTCAAATTGTCTATTTATTATGCTTTAAATAAGTAAATTATACATACTCAGATATTAATTATATTAGGGCAACTTTCATGTATAGCAAATAAAAAATTCATATTTGTATGCTATAGCAAAGTTTGCATAATTGCGCTCCATGACAAACATAGAAACTGTATAATTTGCTATACATATACAGTTGAAGCAAATTGTATAAAATGAAGTGTATAAAACAAGAAAGAGAAAGACACTTGGGCAGAAAACTGTATAAAAACGAAGTGTATAAAACGAATTGAATTATTACAAGTGTATAGAACGATTATATACAATTTGGAATTTGTATAAAATGAGAAAGAGAGAAAGACAAAAGAGACTTGACAAGGAATATACAATTGAATTGAATTGTATAAAACGAGAAAGAGAGAAATTAGATACAATTTGAAAATTGTATAAAACGAGAAAGGAGAGAAAGGACAAAAAGAAACGTGGGCAGGGGTAGTTATTTTTATTGTATAATTATAAGTGTATAGGACGAAAATATATGTATTTGCATGTGTACATACAATTTTCTCACGCTTTATACAAACAGAAACGCAATTTATACATTTTGCTTCTGTTTGTATAAGCGAGATTTGGGAGAGGGCGGCGAGCGAGATTTGGGAGAGTGGCGAGCGAGATCTGGAAGAGGGGAGAGAGGGGAACAAAAATATATGTATTTATACAACTTTCTCTGCTTTATACAATTAGAAACAATTTTTATACACTTGTGTTTGTATAAAAAGTGAGGAAGCAAGCGAGAGATCAGAGGAGAGTGGCGAGCGAGATATTTGGGAGAGAGGCGCCTGACAATTTTTTGCAAACGTTTGCTATGGAGCACAATTAAATTAAACCCTAGCTACTCTATTTATTTTAGGTTATTAATTTGCTATTATATACAATTTTCCTATCATATTATTCTGCATTTTAAATTCAAATATTAGAATCTTAATGCAAACAAATTGGGTCTTTTAAGACAGTATAAACTTTCATGTAAACAATTTCTTGCTTCATTTATTACCCAAATGAAGTAAAATACACGGTATCAACTTTATCCCACAAAAAATACCATGAAAATTGTGAGGGCATATGTGTATCTTTTTCTTGAAAATTAATACTCAATTTAAAAAGCCAAAAAAGAAAATAAATGTAAAGGTGGTGAAGTAAAGTTAAAAGAGAATTTGATCAAGTGATGAACGGAATAAAGATAAAAATGATAATGACAAGACGAAGACCTTGTCAATCTAGAATATAAGGTAAAAAAACTCAAAACAATCATTTTAAAAGTTGGAATGTGAAAATTTCTATAAATTCTAATTTGTTACCTACATAATATTCCATTTTCGATTTACCATATGGTACATCTCTAATTTTTTTGCCCGTGACACTGTCCTTGTCAACTATTAATGTTATATTTGTACATTCATTTAAATTTGAATGTTTTCTTCTCGAAAACTTTAATCTACCATTGTTTTTGTTAGGCCTCGCTATGTTTTCTTATTATATTTTATGTTTTTAGGTCGTTTGGTTGTAGGATAGGAATTAGGATGGATTGAAATATTCATGAGGTTTTTTTAACCTCCCACTTATTATTCCGTCATTTATACTAAAATGGTAAGACTAAATAATAAATATTACTAAGTATGGGATAAAGTGACCACAATTTGAAGTACGATGGGAGAAGTTTCGTACTCAGTCATGTATTTTATGTTAATTAAGTGAATAAATGATTAGTTTTGAAGGTTTTCTTCTTCTTCTTGAATTCGTTGACACGATTAATTTGGATTGTTTTCTTCTTGTTAAAAGTTCAGGGAGTTTAGCGCCCTCTAGCAAAGAGAATTTTATTCGAAAGACTTTGGTTAAGGACGAAGAAACTTTTATACTTCCACAAACGCTATCTATTGATAAAGTGAGATATTTGTGAGTTATTATTAGTACTCGAAGGCCTGAAATCAACATAACTAATATTGGGCCTCAAACAGAGTAGTCCGGCCCATAACTCTGGGCCTACTCTTTCTTGGGCTTTTTTTTTTCATCCAACATATTTGGTCTTCTGAGCATTTAGTCCTATAGAAAAGTTTGATATTTCAAAGTAGAATACTCAATATGTAATCATATTACTAAGAAAAACAGTATAATTTAGTAGTAATATCAACATTCATAAACCATAGTAATTGTGAATTTTTATATTAACGAAATGGAAATCTTGAATTTGACCCAGTTACAAACAATTTTGATTTACTAAGAATATCTACTCATTTATTGCATTACGAAAAACTCAAATATGGATGAGTAAATTTCCCAGAACTTACCTTTCAGATTTGAAAAATACAGAACAAAAATGTAATATTTATTACAGTATATCAATAAAGAACAAAGAGAAAAGTAACAATAATAGGGGTGGTGGCGCAGTTGGCTAGCTCGTAGGTCTCATAGCTTCTGAGTAATCCTGAGGTCGAGAGTTCGAGCCTCTCTCACCCCAATTTTAATTTTTTAAAAAAGTCAATTACACAACTTTAATAGTATTATTTAAATTTAATACATTATTTTGGTTCTCAAACCTTATTTTTTAAAATAACGAGCAACAATTAATGTTTAATTTCTAGCGCTTGCATACAACTCCTCGTCCATAAATTCCGCTGTTGCATCTCAAGCTAGGCATCTCCAAATTATTCAACGAGCCCTCATTGATTTCATTTACTGCTTGAAACTTAGCCACAGAGCAATCAGCATTAAATAATCCCGAGGCTGAAAACTCTTTATCACCTCCCATTACAGGCATCGAAGCACCCATTTTCACTCTGCTCACATAATTCCTTCTATAAGTTTGTCCCAAAACGCCACTCACCTCATCGCTCAGCGCGAAGAATTTGAACCCAAGTTCAAGATGAGCAAAACAATCATCTTCTGTTATCCCATAATTATGGACTCGCGATTCTTTCTCTGTAATAGGCACCACCTTTGCTGTAATCTTCAAAATATTTTCAACTTCAATTACAATTTCATTCGTGTTGCTTGTTCGAGTTACGTATGTTGTTGGTCCATATTCAGACATCCACCTATCCAGACATAACATAATATTATGCACGACATTGAGACATAAACATAATTATGCACGTATCCAGACATAATACAATTAAAAACGTTACCTTTCGCCTTCTTTGTTTGGGATAAGAATAGATTCACCATCAATGTTTAGGTAAAGGCGATCGATTGCATCATCCCATGTTGCTGTTTTTTGTGCTTCAATAGAGATATTGTGAGTACCATAAAGGATACCAATAGCTTGAACCCAAGTGAAGTCTCTTTTCATGTTTTCATTTCGTTTTCCAATAAAATGGCCATTGATGTGAAGGTTAGAGTCTGAGACTAAGCAAAAATCTTTATCCTTCTTTCCATGAAAATAAAAAGTAATTCCATCAGCACCAATAAAACGTGGATCTTGGCAAACTGATCCTGGCTTGTCACAACCTATATAAATTAAAACAAATATAAATTACACGTACACAGACTTCAGTGTATATAAGTTAAATCGAATTATAATAAAACTTACTGCAAACAGGTTTGCAAGATACACAATCAACTTGACAAGTCCCGGGGCAAGTACTAGGGCATGTATGTTCTTGATCGTAACATTTTACATATTTCTTGTCTTTGCTTTTACACTTAACTTTCTTTGGAGATGTTGATGGAGGAGGGTAATAGGGAGGAGGTGGCGAAGGCGATGCGCCATCGATACAAATAGGTTTACAAGAACGACACTCGGTTATACATCCATTAGGACAGAATTTAGGACAAACATGTGGAAGATTTTTGCATTGTTTAATCTCATCATCAGAGCAATGAGAATGGCTTGGATTATTAGCTATTCCAGGAGGAGTAGCTTCAACTTTTGATACAGTAATAGTCATTACTAATAAAACCACAACAATGTGGGAAAATAATTGAGCCATTTTAATTCACTTTTTTTTAGTAAGTAAATAGGTTGTTGAATAAAATTGTATTGAGTTATGGGATTTGCTTAGGAACTCCTTTTATAGGAGTTAGAGAATGAGAAAAGTAAGCCTATTGTTTCGTGTCATAATGTCAATGTTTTTTTTTTTGTTTGTTTGTTTAAAAAAGTATAATGGTATGTTTCTTGATAAGTAATCTAGCATATAGTACTTTACTTTCTTTTATTAAGTCAACTTCAACATTTTCTATCAATTGCCTAGTAATTTTGTCGTTATTCATATAAGCATAATGTAATATATGGCATCACTTGATCATAAAGTATATATTATATTATTTTTATACATTGTAGATCACGACATTAATAATATGAGTTATTATTCATATTTTAATACATCATATTCATGAATACAGCTTTTAATCCATTACTAGTGGAGTGTATATATGTATACGCAACCTATGATGATATCAGACAAAGCGATATACAATATATTCATGAATAAAATGATGAAATATGTTTAACTTGTGAAGAGTTTATGGTACTATTAATTAATGAAGTGCATGTAATATAATGTTGGGAGGATTGGCCCTTTTCTTCCCAATTAATCTGGAATAATTTGGAGTTTGAGTAATTTCATTAGTACGTAAAGGCCTACATATACATATTCCTTCTATTTATTTTTACCTTTGACTTGACACATAATTTATTAACAAAACAATTATTAATACAAGTATTTTATCAAACTATTCCTATTATTAAAAAATGACGTTTAATTAGAGCTTGGAAATGATTTGGAAGATAAACATTTAATGTTGAGGTTAAAACATGAAAAAAAAATTGTTTTTTCTTGAAATGTTAAAAGTAACAAGTAAAAATGAAAATCTATTTTAAAAATAAGTGAAGAAAAAATAAACGGAAGAAGTATTTCAGAGTTTGCATGCATGAATTGTTTCACTATTGGCGCGTATGTATTGAAAATATGCATACAAACATAATATAGTAGTACAGAACATCTCTATAATACTCCCTTCGTTTTACAAAAGAGTGACTTGGTTTGACTTGACACAAAGTTTAAGAATATAAAGAAGACTTTTTGAATCTTGTGGTTCTAAATTAAAGTTAAGTAAAATGTACAAAATTGTCCTTTAATCTTGTGGTCTTAAACATGCAACGTGAAAATTTGAAGTTAAAATGTTACTCCCTCCGTTCACAAAGAATGATCTAATTTACTTCGGGGTGTGTATCGGTCGGTTCCGTTTATCGGTTTTCGATTTTTAAATATGCTAACCTAATAACAAACCAATAAGATATTCTTTATCAGTTTTCGATTTATCAATTTTTTTTAATCATTATCGGTTCGATTTTCAATTTACCAAATAAAAAAATGTCTGTAAAATATTACATGTCTTCTCACTTCTCTAAATATTTTGATATAGGAAAGATAATGAGAAATTGCATCAATAAGAGAAAATATAGTACGAGGGTTATAATTACATGTTACCACCAAAACATAGTATAAGATTTTTTATGTTAATCAAATTACGGACCTTTACAAACTTGTAATGTTATAACCTACAATTATAAAAAAAAAAATAGTCCAACAAGATAAAACTTAAACTAAAATCAAATAGCTACAAATGTGAACCCAGTACTTTAATCTTTAGGTATTAAGTAAACAGTAAAGACTAGTAAAACGACCAAGTGTAAGTTGGTAGAGTAGTAATAATTTGATATTGTTATAGTGTCTAATTATATATATTAAATTATTAATATTTAATAATCAGGAGGGGTAAAATAATAAATTATTATCGTATTATTGGGTTTTCGGCTTACCCAATAACCTAATAGTAGAAATTGATACTGAACCAATAACCCAATAATTTTTTTTCCATAAACCCAATAACATTTTTTTCAGTTTGATTTATCGATACGTTCGATTTTTGCACACTCCTAGTTTGACTTGACACTAAATAAAGAAGACTTTTGATCATGTATTCCTAAATTAAAGTTATGTCAAATGTACAAAATTGTCCTTTAATCTTGTGTCATTAAACATGCCACGTGGAAAGTTCTAACAAAAAAAGAATGATGTCATTCTTTTTGAAATAGACTAAAACAAAAAGCACGTCATTTTTTTTAAACGGAAGGAATAAAAAAAAAGAAGAGGTCATTCTTTTTTAAATAGATTTAAAAGGAAACGAGGTCATTCTTTTTTAAACAGAGTGAATAATTAATTTATGACAATATTTTACACTAATTAACCAAGGTTGGCTCGATGGTGTTAAAAAAATTGCATGTGCTTTGGGCCCCCAAATTTAAGAGACCTTATTTTATATAGTAATAGGTTATAAGTTATTATTCTATAACAAATATTGAATATTATTTGTTAAAAGTAAACATTTCATGAAAAATGAAGGGATTAATAGAAGAAATTTGACATATATCTAATGAAAAATAATTGAAAATAAAAAACGTTATATTATGCGATGAAAACTAGAAGAAATAAATTATAAAAGTTATTAACAATATAAATTTAAGGCCTCCTTTAATTTTTACTTTAGGCCATTAATATACTTGAGCCGCTCTTATAATTAACGATATGTATAATTTTCTTTGGAGCTGATTTTCATATTGAGTTCTATTCCATATTCCCTATAATAACATTTTACCATAGAAATATTATTTTCAGACAAATAATATTATTATAAAGAGATTCAATGGTAATAAATTATTGACGAGTATATCATTATAACTGATACCACAATTAAATGGTACTCTGAATCGTTTATGTCTATCAAACTCAAAGTTGGCACTTCCATGTTACGTACATGGAAGCTAATTATTTTCATTAAGTGACTTCTATTCTACCAAGTCAAACTCATAAAATGTCCTTTTTTTTAAAAATTTATTTATTTCTTGTCGTTATAATTTGTTGATGAATTTATGGAATATTACTAGAGTGGGGGAATACGTTTAATTTCTTCTTCCAATTCGTCTATTACATCCTGAATTTTGACAATTTATTGTTTTTAAATGCATGCAACAATATAGTAATTGACATTTTTGTATAGTAATTGACATTTTTGTGTAGACCAATAGAAAACTATGTGACACAACGAATAGATGGAAGAAGAATTTACACTTCTCTTTATACTTAATCGATAAATCGGTCAACAATATTCAAACTTGCACAGATTAAATCCCTTAAGCAGACTAGAATAGTTATTTCCTCGTTCAAATGTTGCTAAAACATACCTATAGGCAACTATATACATAAGCTTTAATTTACATAATTCAATTTTAGTTGAAATGCATTTGTTTTGTCAGGCTTATTTCATTAATATGCCCATTTGGATATGTCATATGATAAAGATTGATTTGAAGAAAACTTTTTGTCTGGACATGCAATTTGAATCTTTTAAAATGTATTTTTTTCTTCTCATTATATATATAAAGTTTCCTAATTCTTATACAATGTTATCAAATGAGCAAATTATAGTTCATAAACAAAATATCAGAATTTCTTTATAAATAAATATTTACAATTATAAACTTTAAATACACATAATATTATAAAGATCCATTAGTGAACCACAGGTAGTATCACATTATTCTTTGTAATTCTTTTTTATGATACGTACAATCTGTATGTAAGCATGAGTCTTTTTTCGCAAAATTTATAATAATGTTTGTTTATTTTTTTTAAAAAAATATAAACTTATGGTCCAATTTTTATATTTAAAACTGAAAATCACAGTTTGGAAAAAAGGTATAAAATAAATAAATTCTTTTGCAAAAAGTAAGCAAATGGGGTGGTGGCGCAGTTGGCTAGCGCGTAGGTCTCATAGCTTCTGAGTAATCCTGAGGTCGAGAGTTCGAGCCTCTCTCACCCCAATTTTTAATATTTTACAAATATGAAAGAGCAAAACAATAATCTTATTTGACCACAACACTTTTTTTTTAAAAAAAAGTCAATTACATAAACTTTTTCAAAATATAAAAGAGCAAAACGATAATGTTATTTGATGTTTAATGCAAATTATAAATTTTCATAATACATAGTTTTTGATACATCCCATTGGTAGATAATCAACCTTATTTCTTTTAATTTCTAGTGATCAATCATGAACACAAGAAAATTCTAGCGCCTGCACACAACTCCACGTCCAGACATTCCACTGCTACATTTCAAGTTGGGAATCTCCAAATTATTCAACAAACCTTCATTTACTGCTTGAAACTTAGCCACAGAGCAATCAGCATTAAATAATCCTGAAGCTGAAAACTCTTTGTCACCTCCCATTACAGGCATCAAAACACCCATTTTCACTCTGCTCACATAATTCCTTCTATAAGTTTGTCCCAAAACACCACTCACCTCATCACTCAGCGCGAAAAATTTGAACCCAAGTTCAAGATGAGCAAAACAATCATCTTCTGTTATCCCATAATTATGAACTCGCGATTCTTCCTCAGTAATAGGCACCACCTTTGCTGTAATCTTCAAAATGTTTTCAACTTCGATTATAATTTCATTGGTGTCACTTGTTCGGGTAATAGAGGTCGTTGGTCTAGTTTCTGACTGCCACCTGTCGAGACATAATATAATATAGTAACTAAAAGGTCTCTTTAAAAAACATAAGCTTTTAAAAATTGTAACCCGTTAAAAAACAAATATGTGAAAGGACGTATTGAGACATAATATAATTAAACATTTACCTCGCGCCTTCATTTTCAGGTAGAAGAATAGATTCACCATCAAAGTTTAGGTAAAGACGATCGATTGCATCATCCCATGTTGCTGTCTTTAGTGCTCCAACTGAGATGTTGTGAGTGTCATATAGGATGCCAATGGCTTGAACCCAAGTGAAGTCTCTCTTCATGTTTTCGTTTCTTTTTCCTATGAAGTGGCCATTGATGTGGAGGTTAGAGTCTGAGACTAAGCAAAAATCTTTGTCCTTCTTGCCGTGGAAGTAGAAAGTAATTCCATCAGCACCAATGAAACGTGGATCTTGACAAACTGCTCCAGGCTTGTCACAACCTACGTAGACGTTCATATAAATGAAAGCCACTTAGTTATTGGAAGAAAAAATAATACTATACAAAAAATTCAACTATGGTTCTTATAGTCAGTGAATAGGGAGGGACTATACAAAAAATTATTGAGATGTCGCTATGGAGCAATTTTTAATACTATTAGGTTACTAAAAAGATATACGTAAGTTTAAATTTATTAAAAAGAGAAACTTACTGCAAACAGGTTTGCAAGAGACACAATCAACTTTACAAGTACCAGGGCAAGTGCTAGGGCATGTATGTTCTTGATTGTAACATTTGCTATGTTTCTTGTCCTTGCTTTTGCACTTAACCTTCTTTGGGGATTTTGGTGGATGGGGGTGACCAGGAGTTGGAGGTGGGGATTGTGGTGGATGGGGGTGATAGGGAGTTGGAGGTGGAGGTGATGGTGATGGACCATCAATACAGATAGGTTTACAAGAACGACACTCGGTTATGCAGCCATTGGGACAGAATTTGGGACAAACATGTGGGAGATTTTTGCACTTTTTGATCTCATCGTCAGAGCAATGAGAATGGCTTGGATGATCAGCTATTCCAGGGGGAGTAGCCTCTACTACAATTACCAACAAAATCACAATGAGTCCCACAACATATGATCGAGACATTTTCCTTTTCAATATAGGAGAGAAACCTTATAGTAAATATGTTGTTGTTGAGACACTTGAGTTATGGAGATTCCTTAAATAACAACCTCCTTTTATAGGAGTTGAGTTCCTAGAGGATGACAAAAATAAGCTTATTGTTTCCTGTCATAATGTCAATTTATTTTTGTATAAAATTGCATGTTTCTTCATAAGTCATCTTGTTAGCACATGCTTCTTTCATCAAGTCAACTCTATTTTCTTCAATTTCTTTAGTAGCTTGTTGCTACCTTTATGAACGTATGGCATCACTTGATAGTAAAGTTGCGAAACTATAGTACGTAAAGAGTGGTTTCGCGTAATTTCAATAGTACGTAAAGAACCACATATTCATCTCAATATGTGGGTTGAACGGATCTCATATTTTCTTTTAGGTGTGGAAGTGAATTCATAAGAAAGTACTGTGGAGCAAAAAAATTAACCAAATATATACATATTATCGATGAGAGTAACTTTCAATGGATTAGTGAAGCACCCATGAAATTTTCCTCTCCTGTCGAAAGCAATATAATGGCGAAAAAAATAACTTGGATCTAAATATGTTAATGACACTGTCAATCCACAAAACCATAACACATTACATGAAAACTGCAGATTATTTGCTCAAGCAACGCATTGTCAGCGTAACAGCTGATAAAAATTACAGCCTAAACTATGTCCCCTTTGCAGCATTTTTTCTTATTCAATGCTATCTCCAGTCCAGTGCTTCCTGCAGCAAGTTATCCAAGCAAACAAAGTGAAGAGTACACAACAAAGAAGAAGAGAAAAGGCTATAAAATTTCATGCTATGTATTATAGGCCCGTCAGATCAAATGGATTCAAGTATCGTATACTCGAGAAATTAATAGCGAGGAGATGCAATACCCAAGATCAGATAGAAAGTTTTTCGCACTGAACAAGACGGTATAAAAGGTAACATGTTATTTATCAAAAAATACAAGGCAACATGTTTAAAAGTACCTTGTGGCTGAGGCAGATACGAGGAGAGTGTTACTTAATCAGTATACATCTAATAGGTGATCCCTCCGCACCAAGCAACCTTAAGGGAAGACAGTGTACAGTGTACAAGCCAGCTTCTATATCATCCAGCTTCAGCCCTTCTACTAGAATAATCTCCTGGAACATTTCAAATATCATAATGCTTGCAACGATTATTAACTGGCATTAGAACAAGTAAATGTCAATAATGTGACTAAAGTATAAACATTCTATTGTCTCCTTAAAACAAAGAACAGAGATAATACTGGACTGTAATTTTCTTTTTTCTTCCTCGAAAAACGATCATCCAACTCGCTTTCACAATCTAGAAGACAAAGATCATGTCATTGGTCAACCATCAAAAGGTTGACATATTTCCAATGTTTAAGTTCAACTAACCTCCACTTGGTTACCAACTCAGATTTCATCTTTTATGAGTTTCATTACATGAAAAGGATAAACAGGAATGATATACAACTTAATATTTGCGACCGCCTCCTCTAGTTCTCTACATATATTTTTTTTCTTCATAAGGAAACTTCAGTTAAGGAAGTGGAGGAGGCCCATTCACTTAACCATTAAAAATTGACTCAAAAGTTGACCACCCTCCATAACTTAGAAGGTTAAGAACTTACGATGCAAATATTGAGTAGTCTTTGTCATTATTGCGTGACTATTCAGATTTCTTCTACAAATGTAGTACAAGTGAAGATCAACAGATCCACAATAACCTTAGCCGCTTTGCAGATGACATCTAGTTCACAATCTAGCACATAATATTTTGAAAGCACCATAATTGCTACAACTAGCATCAGTTTTGAGCTGCTGGTGATTAGAGTTAGATGCTACTTGTAGCAATTAGGAAATATTACAGTGAATCATTTTTTTATCGGCCCTTAACTGTATTTAGTTGGATCAAGGTTAAATAACAAGTTTCCTGGTAAATAAGAAGTTGGGAATCTGATCTAAATTTTGAATAATAAAGGGAAGCAGGAATTTTCTATCTCCATGATATGCAATCACTTTCTGTTTAAAAAAGAACGAGTTGCATCAATAGTGCCATTTATTGCTAAGAGCAACTAGAATCTCATGGAATTATGAAACATTAACTCGAGCCAAAGTAGAAAAATTAGACAATTGAAAAAATCAGAATTCTGCGCAAAGCATAGAATCTTCATTTATACATTTGCAAGCACACAGACACCCCTCAGTTGACACCCCCAATTTTCCCCTGATGTGAATCTAATCAAAGGGGGCAAATAAAAGTTCAACTTAGTTCGGATATGACGACTTACCCTGCTTTTCAGGAAAACATGATGGGCAGGAAGCAAATCATCAAAAGCAGCAACAGATAAGTAATCAATTCCTGAAAAAAAAAATGTTGGATACGAATTTTTTTACCAGTCAATAATTGATTAAGAGGAAAATCAAGAATAAGTTATCACTCATTTACACTGGTTGAGCTGCATCAGTAAGAGATTAGGACAGTCAAAATATGGTAGTTCTAATTTGAGGGCAAAAGTTGGGGGAAATGGGAAAGGATAACACCCAGGTTTATAAGTATGATGAATTATTGTCAAAGAAATTTGTGAACAGAAAGCAGTAATGGAACAGCTAGCTGAGGATGATAAAGTACGTGAACCACGACACATACAGACTAAAGGTCGGATAAAGCAAGAAAGTAAAATAAGTCTAAATTCCTTATTCACCAATTGAAAATCCAGGCATCAGCCAGACTGAAGATAATACAAATATATACATAATGTATATATGCATGTGTATTAATTCAATACCAGTTCAAGCACTCACATGATCTACCTGATGTTACACTTACTCATGACATGAAGCATAAAGTACTGTGTCAATCAAGCAAGGAGTTACAGGAAAAAGGAAAAAGAAAAACAGAAAGAGGATCCCTCTGACCAAAGAGGTATAACAGTACACAGAATATACTGCTTATAGTTGAGCACTTATCTAATCGACATCACATTCAAGCATGAAGTAAACCATTACATCATTTGGCTATTAACATATCATAGTGTTAAAGCCTATCTTACCAACAAGTTTGATGTCAGTGTTGTCCACTAGCCACTGAGCTCCATCCTTCATGAATCCGACATAGCTTGTGTCGAATGCCTTTTTCCACATAAGCCGCCTGAAAGTCAAATAAGTTTAATCAAGACATACTGAACAATTGTAACTGTACATCCAAGTCAAAATCATTTAAAACTCTGTGTTAAGTGTTGCTTCAGGAACCTGATAGCATCTATCCTTCTTTCTATACCAACTGATTATGCATATTAATTCGTTGAAATATGAGCAACAACTACATAAACATCAAGTGCATCAAACTGAAGCCTCTAAAACAGCATACACCTGCACCTAAGAAGGAATCCTACCCTGTTCATGTAAGCATGGGGGAGGAGAACAGAATCCACAAACATAATTGACTTCTGGATGAACATCTCATTCTTCGCACTAAATGCCAAACCTTAATTGAATAATCCTTCGATTAGGTTTTCAAAATATTTATCCAGCATGAGCATTACCACTAAAGAACAAGAGAAAAGGTTAGAGACAGATACAATCCATCTACATCAGGCTAGGGTTCGTAATACATGAGTAAAGCATGTGTAGACATTCCAGTAACAACATCTATGCCAAAACTGAAGAAGATACAACTAAATATCCACAATGAACAGATAGAGAATGTGCTGTAAATTTTATTATGTTTTTTCGCAATTCACCAATGTACTTTTTGGGATTTTTCGCAATTAAATATTTTTCTTTTGCTGCATTCTAGTTTGTTTTCAACTTCCACTTCCAACTTTGACGATTTAGTCCACAGTCCCAACAACGCTTTCACTACCAAGACGCAGAAATTGATCACACCCCACACAAGTTCAACTCTTATATTCGCTTACAATTTAGACTTGAGCAAGAAGTAAAAGCGCAAACTGCACTTAACATTTGACAACCCTCTTCCGTACAGCACCACAAAGAAAAAAACAGAAACAAACATAAAGATGCAAAAAGTCACAAAATCCTAACTTTCCTTCAGTATATACTAAATCAGATGCAAGGATAAAAAAAGTTATTAGATGTCTGTTGTTTATCTTTATAATTATAAACAGCCTGACCTAAGAGAAAATGCTTGAATGGATATTGATTAAAAGAATGTGTAGATGCACCATTTATCAAAGAGGTTAGTCTTCAGCAACCCTCTAAAAGGGTATGTCAAGTTCAGGCATCATGGTGTAGGGGTGCAATTGCAAAAAAAATTAAGGGCCGGGTGTTTTCTGATAATTGAAGTTGGATCTCCTTATATAAGTTTGCCGGTCACTTATCAAGCTACATTGCTTATGGTGCTATTGGTATATGTTGCATGCAAATGAAATTTTATACAATACCACATACCAGATACCTTGAGGATTTGGAAGAATCTGTAAATTCTGGAGATACTCCAATATTATTAACAATGAGAAGAGACAAACAAAAACACAAATCAAAACAGTGACGCATAAAAAAACTTCCAACAATTTCACTACAATATACAGAAAAAAACATGTCGGAAAAGAAAGGAGAAACTATAATAACTTAGAGAAATCTTGAGCTGAACTTCGATAAAAACAAATTGCAAACTAAGCACAGTTTTAAGATACTGCTATAACTTACCTGTCAGTGTTTAGTGTTCTGAAAAGTACTCGTTTGACTCCCTTGGGAATATGTAAGGATTGCATAGCATCCGCTGTGTAAAAGAAAACAGAAGTATGATCATATATAGCCAATAAGCTGATGTAAACAACTCGTGTCTGCTACTCAAATCACAGATAGTATTTCTTCGTCCAGTTATTGCACATATCATATTGTATGCAAGGTAAAGACGGGAAAACTCTTGAGCTCAACAATTTCAAGTCAACTGATATGCTGGCAAATTGAGAACTATGTAAGACAATCAGCTAGAACAATTGATTCAAAAATAGGAGAATTTATCATACTAGAGACATTCAGCATGAGACGGGAGGGGAAGATTTACCAGTTAAGTTCTTGTCTCTAGGAACATCAACTAGCAATGCAGGACCTGTTAAAGCAAGTGCAGGACATCATCATTAATGATGAAAATGTGTGATACTGCCAGTAAAAAGATAAGAACACTAATACACAGTTACACACTGCTAAAAATTAAGGGAGAAAAACTGGCAGGAATCACTGTTCGCGACCCAGGATTCTATTTTCTCATCAATCCAATCCCCGTTTATGTTAAAGTGAAGTATCTTAAACAGACCATAACATCTGTGTAGCTATAAAAGCTTTACATTAAGGACAAAATGAGAAGTTATAGTTAGATGTTTCCAAATATAGAAAAGTGTCATTATTTTTGGTATGGCAAAATAAGGAAATTAAATAGTATCACATAAACTAGAAGAGAAGTAGACTAAAATTAGATCTCAAAAGATTGATTCAAAAAAATTCAAATTCTTAGACCAGTCTAAACGGTTTCCAGTTTTAAGTACTAATCTCCAGTCTTCAATATCCCATCAATTTGAAAGGGCAAGTAAAATTCAAGGTTTCAAACTGACTCATGAGTAGCACTGACAGTGTAGAATCAGATCCATGACTCATGAGTAGTTAATCATAACACATGCGTGATCATTTTTCTAAAGCACAAGAGCTGTCAAAGGTAGAATTTTCTGTGTTTAATACCATTGAGAACTCTAAGGTCAAGGGAATCAACATCAAACCCTGCATCAAAGTAGTCCTCATACATATGTCCTGGTGCATCAACATGAGTGCCAGCATGCACGCCTAATCTCAATTCCGAAAAGTTGTAATCAGAGCCATTCTTCATGCTCGACAAAAGAGTGAGAAACTGTCCAATTCCTTCATCAGAATCCCCCATAGGAGTATTAGGATTGAACTGGTGTGTGATATCAAATATTTGTCCATCTTCATACACCTCTCTCCTCAAAGGTCTCAAATCATCACTAGCTCCAACACAAGAGCCCGGTTCATCACCATATCCAGTTGGGTATGCATCATTAGGTGATGAAAAAGCAAGTGATATTGTACTCACAAACAGCAACTCAGTTAACACTAGCAACTTACACACAGCCCTCATCTTACTCTCTAGGAAAGGCATGACCTCTAGCAATGGAAACTAGAAAGCTCAACGTTATGGCTTCACAATATGGTCAGGTAAATGAAATTTTGTTAGGTATACATTTACTCTTCAAAAAGATGCTTTCTTTTTTCAAAGTTTTGGATAATATTCAACACTTTTGATGCCTCAAAAGATACCCTGACAATTTGGTCCTTACAAGTATTAAATATTTACAAGGCATCAATCTCCAGATGGAGGTCACAACAAAACAAAGTTTTCAAACTTTGCGGCCCTAGCAGAGGCGAAGAATAACATGTGGAATGTCGCTTTCTAATTTATTTCATCAAACGCGTGAACTTACCTGAAGGAGACAGCATAACAGGTGTAATACTACTAGTACGTGCTAAAAATTTAACTAATTTGCGAAGCATTGGAGACAAAAAGAGATGGAGATTAGTGGTTACCATTGAGAACTTCTAGGTCGAGAGTGTCGACATCAAAGCCAGCATCGAAATAGTGATCGTAAACATGGCCAGGAGCATCAATATGCGTGCCAGTGTGGGTCGGAAGTTTCATCTCGGAGTTATTAGCAAGAGAGCCATTCTTCATGCTCTTAGGTAGCCACAGGAACTGGCCAAGCCCGTCTTCTAAGCCCCAGGACGGCATATCAGGGGTCAATCTGTGAGTAATGTCGAAAATCCTTCCGTTGCCGTAAACTTCCCGACGGACAGGAATTAAGTCAGTAGATTGACAGGAGGTAGTCGTTTCAATACCATACGGCGAGGGATAAGCGGAATCGGCGACTGAAACAATTGGATTGAGAGTTACAGTGATTAGTAGAAGTAGGAATACAGGAATTTTCATCTCGCCGGAGTGTGAATGAACAGTGACCGGAATTTGAAATTTTGAGAGGCTGCGCCGGAGGAAGAAAACACTGTTATTGAAGCAAAAGATGTATTTTTCAGATTATAGGCGCACAAGTCTTTCAGTGGAAAGTAAACACTGTGATTAGATATTTCAGATAAGTTGTCTTTGCGTGACAGAATTGAAAACTTTCACCGAGAATTAAGATTTAATTCAATTTTAAATGAATAAGTGTTCTATATAATTTATCTTTAATAAATTATCTAATCAGGATAAATGAAGTAGTAATTTTATTATTATAAGAACATGAAAGAAAGAAATAAATAAATAAATACAGCGAACACGTCTTTCTATATACTCTTGAGACAAACAAGTCGAATTCAATCTCTATTTTATTCCCTCGATTTTATATTAATTGAACTGCAGAGGGTTTTACACCTTCAAGAAAAGGAGATATAAATTAAATAGAACATTTTTTTATTAATATCGTTAAATTCATAATTAAAATAATTACATATTGATTAATTACTAATTTCAATACTAACTAATGAAAGGTAAAAATGAAACAACACTCTATAAATAGTTTTAAAATATGAACAATTAAGTTAATTTTGTTGTAAAACTAAAACAAACTAACAATATAAAGATAAAGAAAAGAAGATTGAATATAAGACAAGAGATACAGAAGATGAACAAAAGATACGAATATTTCTTATTCTTTAAAGTATTCATCAAATCTTCAAATGTATACAAAATGAACATTTATGTCTCTACTTATAGTCTAACATAGAGGGATACAAAAGGTTAATCATAACCATAACATTAACATGAATATAATACACTTGAATAGCGTCAAATATTTATCTATTCATACTGTATGACAGATTCAAATTTATGATCCTCGTAACCATTTATAGCATTGAGTGCTACATCATATCAAATATAAGTCGACGACCATTTTGATATCGATTTCAATACAACATAACTTATCGAAATCTCTTCATTTTTCATCATTTTCAAGTACATGAACCTTTGCCCAGATTTTATGAAATGTTATATCAGAGTGCTCTTCAAAGCCTTGCCTCATTAGCAATGACCATTTTGATAATTTACTCCTCTCCTTTATCAAGGAGTTTTACATTTGGAATGGATGGATCTATCACGCTTCAGGCGTACCATAGACTCTGTCCTTCAAGAAATATTTATTGGAGCATTTGCATCTTAATTAAAATATTAGGTCAGCAGATGCATCTTTGGAAATGAATTATCTTTTGAACTTTAAGTTCACATTTTCTTAAACGAGGATCTAAATAATTCACCCTAAACATAATTTACAGCTGCTACACATATCTCCCCCTAATGTTAGGAAATCTCACATTCACCCTCAACCTCTTTTAGGGATCCATCTTAGTGCGTGGAGCAATAAAATCATATGTGCGCACATAAAATTTTTAGATGAAAATTATTTGATTCCTAACCGTGAACCAATTGTGTTGGGAGAACCTTGTTGGCTTGATGCATACATGTTAAATAAAACTCATCTCATACCAAATTTTATTTGAGAGATTTGTTCTCATAATCAAATGGTCTAGCTATAATTAGAGGCATACAATTCCACTAAACCAACCAACATTATCAATTTCCACTAAACCAACCAACATTATCAACATGACTTTAAAAAAAAGGCCTCTTTTGCAGTTTAATTCAACAAGACATTTTCTACTTATAAAAAACCTTTCTATATAAATGCCAACAAAATAGCTCGAGGCAATAGTATATCCAATTTTTTGCAATAAAAAATAAATCCATGTAAAATGCACCAACCGCTTTATTTCTGCACTGTACTGTCCGGGCTCAATTTCATACTAAAAATAGCATATATTTAGATTCTAGTCAAACAGGTGTTCCCAAAAGTGACTGTCTTCCACGGTTGAAGTAAAATGATAACAGAAAACACAAAATAAGACGAGTAAAGTCATATAAAGTGACTGTGTTTGTCACAACAATTCAGTGCCATCTTTCGAGCAAGTATTTAGACGAATAAAACCAATTCGTTTAGGAAGTTCAGAAGACGTTTCAAATTTACCTTACTCTTCCTTCCTTTAAACCTATCAATCAACTTTGAACAAGCCTGCATAAGGTTAAAGTCGGCACGCACTATTAGCTTATTATGAGTGAGATAAATGGACAGTCACAGAACATAGAAACATTTCAACTTAATAAGAATGCAGAGCTACATCTGCGCAACACACCTGAAAGAAAAATCTAATGTCAAATAGAGGGGAAACACTATATCAAACTTCAAATACAAAATAGCTTAAAGTAAGTAAGCCAAAATAGGTCACACTTCCTAGTTGTACCTGCTTTGATAGCATCTCAGGCCGAGTAACTACCAATGCAGCTAAGCATTTGGCACAGCTCTTCTAACCTTCCAAGTTCCAATTGAAATTTCCATCATCCGTGTATTCCTTAGCACTCTCACTACAACAAAAGTTACAACTAATTTGATTAGTAAAAAGTCTGCAATGTATAATCCTAATGGGTCTTAGCAAGCTCCAGATCATAAGTGAACATTTTTCCTCGAGAATTTCTTCATCAATATCTTCCTCCATATTGTCAGTGAAGTTGGGAGACCATAGCTGACACATACCAGGATGAGATGCAAAATTTCTTCACAGTAGGAAGAAAAATCCCCGGGACACCTTAGCAAAAAGCTCTCAAGCGCCTGAAAATAAAAACACTTCAAAACCAAGGCTGCATCCACGGGGGGTAAATAAGAACAGAGAAAAAAAAGATAAATCAATTAACATAACACCTGCATACTATCTTCACAAAGCTCCTTATCATTTTCAGATGCACTTGTACAGTTGTTATAATTAGCAATGGAACTGTCTCTCCGAGGTGAGGATCAAAACAATAGACAACAGCACATCTGGAACCACAATTTGACAGCTTAGTAAAAATAAGTCAAAAAAATATGGATAGCAAAAGAGGAGAAGTCTCCAAAAGGAAGAGTCAGGAGTCAGCATGCATGCGTTAGTTTGACACCTTAGTCTTTTTCATTTCACATTTAAATACTCAACTGCAGCAGAGAGCACCCAAACAGAAGTCCTTCAGCCCTCTTTTGTTTCACTTGATACAAGTAAGCAGTTCTAAAACTAAACAACAGGGTGACCAGGCCAAATAACCATAGTCTGTTTACTAAACGTACTTCACTTTTATCCTCCTATGTACATCTCCAGAACACGAGATGCAAAAGAATAAATTTCAATATTTTGACTTGAAACCCTTGTCTTCCTCTGTCTGCTTTTCCAGTTATCAAAATAATGCCAAATGATGACCTGGCTTCTTTTCCCTTTCAACTATGTCATGCTTTCCCTAGGGTGAAGAATATTGGATATGCAATCTGCTAATTGAGTCCTTGCTATACCTACTGTTTGAGAAAAGTAAATTGTCCTGGGGCATTTGTCTAAAGTTAACAACGCAAACAAGTATATCAAATTACATGACATTTGATAGGACAAAACGCAGGCATCAATTATAATTTAGGATATGCTACTTTAAGGCCCCAATAATCTGAATGTTAGTTCGCAGCATCACCGATTTTGAGTTCTTGTTGCTCAAAAGGAGAATAACTTCAACTGTAGCCCTCCCCAGCAAATCATCTGACAATTTCGAAGACAGAGATGCGGTACAGGAAAAAGGTTAAACTGAATTTACTGCAGGAAAAGTTGAAAGCTTGGTGACCAGTCCAACAGTACATGACAGTCTTAAGAATTCTTATTAACACATGTTTCCATGTCTGAAAGGGAAATTGTTGTTACCATCTCCAAAAGCATCTATGTCTAAGCATCAAATTATAAAGCACATACAATACAGAGAAGATGATAACAAGGTTACCCATACATTCTCCTTACTTTATCAAAAAAAAAAAAACAAGGTTACCTACACATGAAATGCTCTTCTTCCCGACACTAGCTTGATTGAAACTCAGTTGGGGCAATAATGAAGATAACAATGAGTCATGGTCAGTCTCCATCAAATTCCTATACTTGTGAAGAACATGACATAGTATGTCAAGACATTCATTCACACTTAATCTCAGCATCGCTTCTTAGAACAAATTGTGCACGCATTGACAATACACCTACAATCTTGACTAATATTCATGAACAGCATAACACATTCATCATTTGGAATGATGGAGGAATATTTTATTTCATAAGAAATAGCATTGAACAAAAAGACTTGAAGCAATTAAACAACCAAATATGCACGCAGGAAGACACTTGCAGATGTCTTGTACATTGAATGAATGATGGTACCCTATCTATACATGAAGTACCTTTATGTATAGATAGATGATTGGGTGGAGTTCATAGAAAACCATCTCTATTTGCAGGTTTCTACTTTTTGGTATACTTCTATATTAGCACTTTTTTAGCCTTACATGAATAAAATTTACTGCATTACCAAAAAAAATCTTAATCTTAATCTTTAGTTAAGAGACAAATTTAGGCTATATTGAGTCGTCAAACACCGACATATGCTCACATGTAAAGAACAATTTATGGATCAAAACCTTTTGTTTATTTTTTCCTTTGTCTCGAAGGAACAAGTAAATGATAATACTTTTCGGAGGCAAATTATTCATTTCAACTTTCTTATGTTGTCCTGCACCCAATAGTTTTGGCCTAGTAGTCAGTAAAGTGCAAGGACAGTCAAGAGATCTTGGGTTTAAATTTCATTGGAGGGGGAAAAAATAGTAGTTGGTTTCTTCTCATTTCTCTAAGCATTGGGGGTACTTAACTCGTTATCTGGTGTTGGTCGGAGGTCCGATACCCATCGGAATAGTCGAGGTGCGTATGAGATGGCTCACATACCATTGCTATAAAAAAAAACTGTCCTACATAAAAAGATGCAAAAGTTCCTTCCTATATCCTCCTTTCACCTACTATTCAATAGTTTAGGTCAAATCAATTGCCTAGACCTATCTACTTATTACTGCAGTTAATTCAGACGGCAATTGATTGCTTGATGAGGAAAATTCCACCGGGACTAAAAATGATAAGAACAAATTGAGTGAGGAACAAGAAATTGTGAACAGAAAGTCTCAAGATCAGAGAGGACAAATCAAAACCAATCATAGGGATGTTTTTGTTGTAATCTCTCCATGCACCATACAGTTAAACAAGATCATTTAGAGCAGCAAATTTGAATGATCCTGTCTCATCAAAGAGAAGGTAATTTCTACATCACCAATTGAAAGACAGTTATCCATGCAGTTCACAAATTCGGGATACAGATATGTTACTCAACCAAGGTTAAAGGATTGAAGAACTACTATTTGGAGAACTGCAAATTCGCTAAGTTTCAATTCACAGTATAATAACTCTAACAAGTGTCTTGCCAACAAGGATGTACTAGTCAAAAAGGAACCAACATCAAAGAAAAAAGAATTTGTTCATCGCAGGTATAGAAGAGCACTAGGAGTGAGGAACAGATAAAGGAGAAGTCGCACACAATAAAGCTGAATTCTAACTGCTATGACCAATCTATATCAACAAAGCATAGGAACATACTGATTATTAATCTTCATATATTTTAGGAAAAATAAAATAATACCATCAACCTCCTAAGCACAGTTGGAGTTCCCAAATAGCCAACTAAATCAGGAAAACATGAAACTAGAAACTACATCGCGAAAAGGCGAAATGAGTAGAGAGAAACCTGAACAAGCTAATCCTCATCCAGCAAGATAAACTCACTAATACTGGAAATCGCACCACAATTATGTGTCCATCCGCAGTGAGATCATCACTTTCTACCTAGATACAGAAAGCAACGTGACATAAAAGCTTCTGATGCATTTATTTTTAGAATTTCACGAGAATAAAGAGTCATGAAATCATTAGATTTACAAGATAGTGATCCGGAAAATAAAACTAAACTCAAGTCACAGGGATCTCCTCACAGATTCCAATAGTGACGATGTAACTACAGCATCAGTTAGACCACCAATACTCATGTTCGTTAGAACAGGTACTCCGAATCCAGTTGAAGAATGTTGTCATCTGGGAGTAAAAGAATGATAAGTCGAAACATATTATATCACTTGACCTAAATGTGTTTAATGAAATTAATTAAGTTTGAGAGATAACCTTTCTGAAATTGTTGTCTCTACCAACAAAAGCTACACCACTAATAAAGTTTATAGCTTTAGCTATCTCCTAACAGATTCCAATAGTGATGATGTAACTACAGCATCAGTTAGACCACCAACTCATGTTAGATAGAACAGGTACTCCGAATCCAGTTGAAGAATCTTGTCGTCTGGGAGTAAAAGAATGATAAGTTGAACCATATTATGATACTTAACCTAAATGTGTTTAATGAAATCAATTGAGTTTAACAGATTACCTTTCTGAACTTGTCTTCTCTACTAACAAAAGTTCCAACACAAAAAAGAAAAGAAAATAAATAGCTTTAGCTATCTGCAGATTAGTGTATGGAAAAGTATAATGAGCAGGCAGCATCAAGAGTGAACAGTAATGAGCTACTGAACAAGGAATCTCCAGCTCGTACAACTTCACATCCTTTGTAGATGATTGCTGCAAGGCATATAGACCAATATTTAACTTGACTTCCCCCTCCCAACATATGTGAGTTTAGCTGAAGAAGTCATGTTTCTTGCTTGTTGAATAGGTAAGTGTCTGACATCTGATTTTCCTTTGCCAAACAATCTTTCCAGTAGAGATTTGTTTTTCACCGTCAACATAATCAAATTGATTCTAAAAAGCACTAAACTATATTACCATCCAAAAAGCAAGGGGTAAGTGCTTTTCCAACAAAACTGTTTGCCTGCAAAAAAAAAAAAGAAGTAGATAAAAGAGGCTTTAATAGCTTCAGTATACCTGAATAGTATCGCCACATGGATGCTTCCATGCTCTATTGTCAGTTACACTTACAATAGGAAGAAGATATAAAGATAAATGAGCAGGTGAAATTACTGATCTCAGAAAAATGCTTAGAAAGAGGACACATTTGAAGTCCAGGAACTACAAAATATAAGAATTTGTAAACATGTTTACAAGAGTAATAGGCAATTGGAACGAACAGCTGAAATAATTTGCAATTAATACTCACAGTTCCTTCAAGCATCTTCAGCAGCGCCTGTTGGAAGCCCTCCATGAATGCATCTCTGCCAATGTTTAGGCTCTCAGCCTAGACAGATGACTGATGAGAATGATTACTTTAAAATCAATTATCCAAATTCATAAAGTAGATAATGGTTTTTTAACCTTTTTGGTTATTTTATCAACTTCGTCTATGTAGACAACCCATTGCCGAACTGCTTCTACATTGAAGTTAGCAGCCTGTAAACAAACATGAACACCAAAAATTTATAATTGAATAATTATGCTGCTGATAGTGCAAAAGCAAAACAGAGATTACAGAAGAGGAACCATGTAGTCTGCTTGACAAGGAAATAGGAAGTAAATCTGCTTCTCCACGGAAACTATTCAATGCAACCTTCATCAAAAAGAAACTATTCAAATGCAATAATCAGCAGAACACCAAAGGGGCAACCATTTCAACCAGGTTTATTGTTACCGACTTCACAACAATGTGATAATGATAATTCTCTTGTACCTAATCAATAAAAATGAAAATGAAAATTGATTCTTGCACAAATGTGAAATCATTGTGACTACTTTGGAAATCATTACCCTCTCTTATCATTCAACGTTCATTCTACTCTAATCGCCACAACCAAACAAATTAACCTCTCTAGAAAAAGCTAAGCTCTGCAGCATTATTCAGAGAATTAAAACTTCTAGTGATACATGAGCTACTCAAATTTTGATTGGTAACGTGGGCTCTTCAACCATTTCAAACCACTGGACCAACTATCCAACTAGTTCTTTGTTAAAATAGTCAAATTTATCAATCACCTCCCTACATTTCTTCAAATCTAAAAAACAGATATGTTAATTGCAGTTCTAGGCGCCAGTTTTAAATGTATTTCCTACTACGTGATTACCTTAAATTTGCAGCTGCAGTACTCTCCACGCACAACACATTTTCAGTTTTTTTGCAGTAGAATTACACAGCTGCTTCCATATTCCAATTACAAATCATATTTACTCTATTAGGTTATACTTTCTGAATGGTCATCCAATGGAAAGTGGAAACACATAAATTGCCTAGAAAAGAACAAAAGTTAAGTACTTTTAGGCAACCAGCTAGCGCACATCTACCATGTCAGTAATAACATTGCAAACTGTGATGCTAGAAGAAGCAGTAGATATCTGTTTTGCCATCAGCAATATAAAATGAAATTGCAAAATCACCAAAACATAATCAGAAACAGGAAAAACCCAAAGAAAGCCTTAAAAAAATGAACAAGAGAAGCCATCAAGATTTTTACACAGAGAATGACTGACCAATGGTAGAAAGTACATTGAAAAGATTGCACAAGGTAAAAGAAGTTATATAATGATAGTATCAATATTAAGAACATAGTTGAACTTTGTGCAACTTGCGTCTATCTTTTGGCGATATTGCTGGAAACAGGAAAACTGATTATTTTACATCATGTTCAATCTTGTATAGTGAAATCACACAATATACTAACTACTAAGAATCACCTTTTAAAAAACTGAGTACCATTTTGAACTCCCAAAATCACAACTCCGCTCTGAAGTGCCGTTAATGAAATGCGCTTAACTAAGCAGTGCGGACATGAATAGAATAAAAAAAATCAAATGCTATAAAAGCATCATGCATACGTAATTTGGATAATACATATTCCACATCCTCGCCAACATAACCAGCCTACAGTTATAAAGAGAGATAAATGCTCATTATTTCAACCACTTTAAAATAGACTAATAAAAGGTAAAATAAACTAAAATTTCGTTTCACCTCCTTGGAGAAGCAGCTTTACTCAAAGATAGTCCACACTAATATGAAACAACATAGTTAGAAAGCATAGGCCAACACAGCTCAACAGTTTGGCAAGATCAGACCAAGAAAAAAGTTTCAACTGACTGCCACAACCAGACTAATATCTTCTGCACAAAAAATGTATTTGACAATGTTCTGATCAATACTTAATAAGATGTGTACATTTTATAGTTATCAGACCAAACTTTAAACACTTTGTTATACTTCTATCAAATAAGCTAGTCCAGAACTATTAGCATTCTCTCCCTTTCTACCTCTTTGAGACATATTTGAGTTGAAATGATTAGAACTTAGGGCCATGCAATTATTGGGGTCGTTATTTTTTAAAATAAATTTTAAGGGCAATCGTGTGCCCGAATATAGGAACCTGATGAGTGCAACAAAAGGAAATAAGGGGAAAGAGGCTATTTTCAGGGGTACCAAGCCAACGCATTCATTTTTCAAACATTTCTTTAGAGGATTGTTACCATTTGCTTAAATTTCTTCATCCTCCATAACTCCATTACAACTCATTGATTTTCCAACGCAGTGAAGAGAGGTGATGAGAAATAATAGAAAGTATACTTTATCACAAAATATAAAACTTATGACCGTTGTCCTGGTTTCTTAGGGTTATGAAAATTGTAAACTCAAAAGTATTCCCTATTCTCAAACACAGTCTGCAGAGGAAAGGAATGATAATTTGCAACAGATATGTTCTATATGTGAGGAAAAATAGGATGATGTGAACACCTTTATTCATTGTAAAGTTACACCTTAGCCAGCCATAATCGATCTTTCTGAATATACTAGAAGTGAAATATTCATTCCTGAATCCCTCAAAAACTACTGTTATATTGGAACAGGCCTCCTCAAAGCTGCAAAGCCCCTCTAGTACTCCATACTATAATCATATGATGGATCAAATGAAGAGAGAAGCATCAAGATATTTTGAAGAAAACAAGAGAACATTGTAGACGAAAACACAGATGTGTCTTTATTAACATTGCGGAACAAAAAATGTAGAGGAGATGGAGAAGTTTTTCAGTTCTATTGGTAAAAATTCATATAGAAAATTGTAAATTCTTGAACATAATAAACCACTAAAGCAAAACAATATCAATTACATTGTACAATTTCAGTCAAGAAATATCAAGAAAATCTTGAAATCACAGTATGAAATCCATCACAAAAAAAAAGAAGAAGATAGAAAGCATACTTTAAGTCGAATGCAACAAACAGTGATTATTAATCTTCATATATTTTAGGAAAAAATGAAACAATACCATCCAAATTCCAATCTTATAACAGCAGCATTCAACTCTTGGTATATTTTAAAGAAAAAATAAAAACAATAAATAACCCAGAAATCTATTTGATCTTAACCAAGTACTTCACCATTAAAATTCCACAAACAATTACAACCCTCTAAAAGTAGTGACCAAAACATATAGGTACCGTACATTCTTCGCTAAAGACGAGACATTATAGAATCTTGATAAAAAAAATCACTAAAAACATGGTAAATTCTTGAACATAGTTAATCACTTAGGCAAAAGAATATCAATTACATCTTGAATGTCAATCAAGAAACATCAGGAAGTCCAATTCTCCAACATAAAACCCTAAAAAAACCTAAGATGCAATCAAACTAACCTAAGAATCAAAGAATACATATGAAAATCACAATGCGAAAATTCATCGAGAGAAAAAGCTTACTTTAATGGCAGAGAGTATTCTTACTTTGCATTATGGGGGAATGGGGGATGGTCTGCTATTTATAAATATTTGAGATTGTAAAGCGTGTGGAATTTACGCTACCTTAAGTTTTATTACACTATCTTTTTTACATTATTACCTAATTCATATTTATAACCAATAAAAAAATATATATAGGTAATTAATCATAGCATTTAAAATTTTGTTTTAACTACTCGTTATTGAAAATTGAAGTTATTAATTATTTACTGTATAATTTTGTTTTACCTCAACTGCAAAATTACTATACTAAAATCTCATTAAATTAATATAAGTGAAGTTAATGATTTCTCTGAAATAATTCTTTTATCAGTCTTAACTTGGATCAGTAATAAGAAAAAATCACTCATTTCAATAAGATAATATAATTTCAAAACACTCTTATATAAATAAATATATGTTTCTAGTAATGTTATAAATAAATTAGTATTTCAATTATATCGCAGACAATATAGTGAATTGTGATTCTATTATATTTTTTTTGTTAAAATTTAAATCAGTTTGAAACTTATCTTTAACTTCTTTTTTTTGCATCTAAATTAAAAGTTTCAGTGTTGTCACCACTGGGGAAAAAAAATTGAGTACATGTGGAAAGATTTATTTTCTACTCGTATGATATTTTACATATTTGATAATTTATTATTATTGTTTTTTGACACCTTTCCACTTAAAATTCATATTTTGGTACGGTTTCAAAAGGTTTCAAATATTACTTATATATTTTATTTTTTTACTATTATACATTTAATATTTTTAATAAAGATACAGTGAATAGTATCTGATTATTAAAAAATAATAAACATTATGTATGATAAATTTATTTTACAAACAATAATTGAAATTTTGAAGTTCTTTTAACTATGAATCACTCAATAAAAAATAAAACTAATTTACAATGAATCGTACGCATGTGTTGTACTTTATGTATGACTTATTTTTAATGGATTCAAATGGTATATAATTTTATAAGATATCGTAATATTATATTTTTTTAACTATGAATCATTCAACAAAAAATAAAACTAATTTACAATGAATCATACGCATGTGTTGCACTTTATGTATGACTTATTTTTAATGGATTAAAATGGTATATAATTTTGTAAGATATCGTGATATTATAGATTTATTTTTTAAGTTTTAATCAAAAGAAAATCTCACATATATTACCACTTATATTAATTTAGTAAGGTTTTAGAGAACTATTATTTTTTACTTGTTTTAATATTATAAGTAGTATAGTAATTATAATTAACATATTATAACCATATAAAATCATCAATTAAATTTGTAATATATTATTTTCTAATATATTATGATATCTAGAAATATATTATTGATAGTTATATTACTCCCATACCCGATTAATAATTTTCTTTTAATTTGCTTCACTTTAAATATATAATTTAAAATTATAATTATTATTCACTATGAATTGTACAAAATTTAAATGATAATTCAAGCCATCTAAAAAGAAAAAGTGTATGGTTTAAAAAATTATTGTGTTTGTGATTGCGATTGTGGTTATTGTAATTGTTGAATTTTCTAATCGGTTATTTCTATTTGCTTGTCGCATGTATTCATGAACGTAATTGTTGATTTCTTTTATCTATTATTCGGAAGCTCCAATTGTAACGATAGAGATGGTGATAAAATCTATTATATGAACATATTTTAGCTAAACATAAAAACAAAGGACAAAAATATTTATTTAAACTCAATATGTGATATTTATGAGAGCAATATAATAATTTAAAATTTTAGAATAAATATATATAAAATTTATATGGTATTTATTTGGAAAAATAAGAAAGAATTTATATCATGAAACAAAAAAAGTATAACAACGACAATATAATTTTTTTTTAAAAAAAAGGATATTTCTTATAAAATATATAACACGTTAAATAACGTATTCCTTTTAATTATATTTGTAAATACTACAAACTAATATTTTCTTAATCCTATTTGTAGACGAGGGATCAAAAGAATATCTATAAACATGACGCAAAGACAAGTTGAAATGATTATTTTTGGTATAAGTTGTTTTTCTTCGATTAAAGTCTAAAAATTGAACAATTTATTTTTGATATTTTTAACTTATTAAGTGTGGCATGTTCTGTTTAAAATCATTAAATTTATTTATTTTTGGTTATGAATTGCAAAAATTCACTTTGAATAATTTTTTTTTACTAATTAGTAGCTTGAGATATTAGCTATTCCATGATTTATTCCACTTTATGAAATATTTACCGAACATCACTACTCTACAACTACTCTTTACTTAACGAAACTTTACTTATATATTGTTAGGATTTTTTTTAAATAAAAAAATCATCATTAATTTGATATCTTAAAAATAAATTTCTCTTGGCTTAAAAAAAGGTAATATTTCTTGATAAAATTTGGTTATTTTGGATATATTAGATATGCATATCTACCTTACGAATCATTCATGCAACTTTTGATGCCAGCAATTGAAAAATATTATTTATGTTAAAAATATTATTCGAAATCTATGCATATTTATTTGTTAATGTACTTGTTATGATTATTAATATGTATAATAGACAATTAAAATTTAAATCGCTAGTGTTTCTCTCTCCCATAGTCATTAGATGTATGGGTGATAATCACTACCACCATTTTAAAAAATATTTTTTTACATCATATCAATCGGAAAAAAGAAAGTTTATTTAATATATAATTTTTTTTAACGCTATGCTATAATATAACATTTATTTAGCTAAATAATTCCTTCGTAACCTTAAAGTTGACATGATTAATTTAACAAATAGGCGGTTTAACTTTCTTAACGACTGTTTAACCACCATATATTTGTGGGTTAGGAGTGTCTGGGTTGCCAAATTTGGATGGGTCATTCGCATTTATAATTATGATCCTTAATTATAGTTTTAGAAGTATTAAGAAAACAATAAAAAATAATCTTAACATGGCAAAAAAATAAATTGCAAGATATAAATTTATTTATTGGTATCACATTATAAGGCAATGTTTTACAATGCATAATAAGTTAAAACAATTTAATCCATGATAACTTATATCGTTAGAGTATTCAGAACCCGGTTACAAATTATGAGTTCAGACTTAATTTTTTAAGAGCTTAGCATAATTTAACTTCAGAAATCACAAAATTATAATGAACAAAGATGAAATAAATAAAACTTATTTTGTGCGATCGATAATAAAGGACCCAAGTTTTGGTTGACAAAGAATGGCGTCGGACAGTATTTAGTAATTGCGATAGGCAAGAATGATGTTGACGAAGCGTCGGTACTCTTGTAAATGAACAACACTATCACTCTCTACCCCACCATTTTTAGATTTTTGTGGATATAAACATCACAATTACTGCAAACTATGAAAAATAAAAATTAAAAAAATCCCCCTACTAACACTCTACTAGATTCCTCACTGTCAAAATCATTTTATTTTATTTTTTACCCATCTTATAATAGGGAAAACGACAAAAAATAATGCACCTAAACTTAGTGCGATTCTAACATGTTATCACTAAAATATTCCATTTAGAAAAAAAGGGAAAAGGTAACTTAAAGCTTTTTTCACAATAAAACGGGTAGCCAGCTTTTTACGCAAAATCAGTCTTACTTGGTTTTGGGATCTGTAAGTTTTATCATAGCTTTTCGTTACAGTATTTTTCGTAAACATGTTATGAAACGCTTTTAATCGGTGAGATGTAACGTATAATATTGTTCAAAATTATAAATTTATCGGAAAAAAAGTTTATTTTAACGTTTCCTTTGAGTCAATGCCAACTTCTCCTAGGCGCACCTACCAGATTTGTAATCGAGTAATTAGCAAAACCATCTATTTATACAGATATACTCATAAAAAAAATCATTGAATAATAATTTCTATTCATACATCTAATTTGTCTTTGATAAATAGAATAATTGCAGAGATTTGTTAAACTTTATGGAAACAATAATGCACCGTCTTCTGGGCCATTCACCAGACCATCATATTCTTCCCACTCTTCAAATGCATAATTCATCCCTCACCTAATCAATTTACATTCTCCGCTTTATCATTTTAGAGCTATTCAATACATGTGCTCGTTAAATGCATTTTAAATAATTAATTAAATATTTGAAATACACAAATATAAGATTACTCATAATTCGTATACATATTATTCTTTTTAGACAGTAAAGTTGATTTATTAATGATCTTATAATCATAGGGATGCTGAATATTTTCATGATTCCTATTTGTTTAGGAACCACCTGCTCACCAACCCTATAATGTATGACCCTTAAATTAAACCAAATGACAGCAAATCCAATATATAAATACACTATTTTTTTTTAATTAATCACCAGTTAAAACAAATTATAGCTTTGTTAATCCTATTCCCTGTATATATATATACTGCTCTCCAGCTAATTGTACAAAGATATCATCAAAAGGCCCCACACTGTGCCTAAACCACCAGAACCCTCCATTACAAAACCAAAATACATCGATCATTTTTGTAGCCATTTTTCAAACATGTCAAAATCAAGAACCTCTGTTTTCTTCTTTCTCTTTCTTTTTTTACTTTCATCAGTTCAATCAATTCCTCCTTCTACAGACATACTTGCTCTTCGAGCTTTTAAAGCCGCAATTAAACCTTCCTCTATTCCTTCATATTCTTGTTTAGGTTCTTGGAATTTCACTACAGACCCTTGCTCTGTTCCTCGTGTTACCCATTTCACCTGTGGCCTTTCTTGTAGCTCTGGAAACAGAGTAACTGAACTTACGCTTGATCCTGCTGGTTACACAGGGACTCTTTCTCCGTTAGTTTCTAAACTCACTCAACTTGTTACTCTTGATCTTCAGAACAACAATTTCTATGGCCCAATTCCTTCTTCTCTGTCTTCTTTACCAAATCTCAAGAACCTGGTTCTTCGACTCAATTCATTTTCCGGGTC